TGGTCATTCCTGCTGTACCGTTCTTTCCAAAACATGGTGATTGACTTGTGCTTCTGCACTGTTCACTGGCTCCCAAATGGCCTTGATTACATCTAGCTTGTCATACATCAGTTTATCACCAAATGGTGAAAAACATAGAAGTCTGTCTATCTGTTCCTTTCCCAGGACACCTACATAGCCTGAAGAAAATGTTCAGTGTAGTTAGTGTCCTTTGGATAGTTTTTCCAAATGATGCCAGTGTGTTGGGAAATGAAAAGCCATATAGAATGGCTAGTTCTGCAAACTTGACAGTGAACTCATGCATGACCAGTTAGATGTTGTAAGGTTCCTTTGGGAGCAAGTGAACAGTGCAGAGGCATAAAGAGATCATCATGAGCTGAGAAGAAGGATGCTGCAGGAAGTGACCACAGAATCAGTCCATGATCAACACTTAGAGGCAAGGTGAGAATGACATACCATTAGACTGTTACTGGTACTATTAGAGCTGGAACTCTGCACTGAAGGGAATGCAGTACTTATAGGAATGCCCTGAATGCTATAATGCTGATTCTTAATTCAACATTTGACAATGAGATGAGACTGCAGGTTCTGTCCAAGGCCTTCTATGGTGGCTTGTCACACAACTGTTAGACAGTTTTTTAACAAGTTATTTACAATTCACCCGTCTAATGAAAAAATTTAAAATGAGATACACAGATAAACTGTCAGGAGTTAACAAAAAAAAAAAAATCACATATTTACAACAATCTTTTAAAATAACCATTCTCAATTAAATTGCCATCATGAAAATTTCATGACAATGTGATTATACTGACATCTGTACAATGTAGCTTTTAGGAAAAGAAACATAAACACACGAACACAAAACGGATCTTGGTGTACATTCATTCTAATGCTGAGTTGGCTACACTATAAACTGATTTAGTCTATTTTTCAGTCAGTCTTTCCCTTATATTTGGTGAGAATCAAAATATTATGTTATTTCAGTCGGTCTTCATCCATATGGTTGTTGAGAATGTCACTCTTCTGTCACTTTATTCAGTCTTCATTCATGTGATATGGTTGTTGAGAATGTCACTCTTCTGTCACTTTATTCACTCTTCATTCATGTGATATGGTTGTTGAGAATGTCACTCTTCTGTCACTTTATTCACTCTTCATTCATGTGATATGGTTGTTGTGAATGTCACTCTTCTGTCACTTTATTCACTCTTCATTCATGTGATATGGTTGTTGAGAATGTCACTCTTCTGTCACTTTATTCACTCTTCATTCATGTGATATGGTTGTTGAGAATGTCACTCTTCTATAGCTTTATTCACTCTTCATTCATGTGATATGGTTGTTGAGAATGTCACTCTTCTGTCACTTTATTCAGTCTTCATTCATGTGATATGGTTGTTGAGAATGTCACTCTTCTGTCACTTTATTCACTCTTCATTCATGTGATATGGTTGTTGAGAATGTCACTCTTCTGTCACTTTATTCACTCTTCATTCATGTGATATGGTTGTTGAAAATGTCACTCTTCTATCACTTTATTCACTCTTCATTCATGTGATATGGTTGTTGAAAATGTCACTCTTCTATCACTTTATTCAGTCTTCATTCATGTGATGTGGTTGTTGAGAATGTCAGGTTTTTTTTGTCACTTCAGTCAGTCTTCCTTGTATGGTTTGTGAAAAAAGGATTGTTCTGTCATTTGAATCAGTACTCTTTTTATAGCGTTTGAGAATCTGACTGTTCTGTCATTTCAGTCAAGTTTTATTTGTATGTTCTTTAAGACTGTCACTGTTCTGTCATTTTAGCTGGTCTTCATTCATATAGTATGTGAGAATGCCACTCTTCTGTCACTTCAGCAGTCTTCATGCTTACGGACCTTGGAAATGACATTGTTCTATCATTTCAATTAGGCTTCATTGATATGCTTGGGATTTTAGTCCTCGTTTTTTTTGGGGGGATGGGGGGGGGGGGGGGGGGGAGAGGGGTATAATGGACCAACTGCCTCCCTAACAAGTATGTCATAAGACTCGACTTATTAGCGGGGTTTGCATCTGTTTAAGAGGTAAGGAACCAACAGTCTGCATATAAATAAGCCAGATTTATAAAACGATTGTGCAAGCAAAACTCAACTTCTAGAACAAGACTAAAATGAAGAAGTGGGCGACCAAACAGAATTTTTCACCGGAATTTACAATTGCTGAACAGTTAGAAGAAAATTTTTCTCTTATTTGCTTCTTCATAACGCTGCTGTTGTTTATTTCTGTCTCTTATAGAACTTATGACACAGGTGAATGCCCTACCCTGTCTTATGTCAGTTTTTGCATGTATAGTTTTGTTTGAGAATCTGACTGTTCTCTCTTGGTCAATTTTTGTTGTTGTTGGGGTGGAGGTGGGGGGGGGGGGGGGGGGTTGTTGTCTTTTGACAGCAATGGTCACTGACAGCAATGGTCACTGACAGCAATGGTCACTGACAGCAATGGTCACTGACAGCAATGGTCACTGACAGCAATGGTCACTGACAGCAATTGTCACTGACAAAATGAGAGTATAAAAAACAATGTCATGATTATTTATAATCAAATCCAACAGATAAACATCACCACAATGGCATGTTCATTACAACTGTGACTTAATTTAAAAAGTTGTCAACAACATTTGTTTACTTTTGCAAAATTAACACACACACAAAATAATAATTCTAAACTGTTAAGATAACTTACTGGTATTTACTTTGAAAACATCCGATAATTATAACTTACTGGTATTTACTTTGAAAACATCCGATAATTATAACTTACTGGTATTTACTTTGAAAACATCCGATAATTATAACTTACTGGTATTTACTTTGAAAACATCCGATAATTCAGCCTGGTTTTTCTGGCATACTTGATCATTAGATACTTGATACTGTTATGGAATTTGGTAAAATACTTTTCTGTAGTTCAGGTCTATTTAATAACTAAGTTTCCTCAGGGCCCCAAACGATGAAAAAAGAGGGTCATCGTGGTCCAGAGGCCCCAACCCCAGCATAAAACCATCATTAATACAATACAGTTGATAATGATCCCAGGGCCACATGCTAGGTCTCTGTGGGCCACTTACTAGGTCTCTGTGGGCCACTTGCTAGGTCTCTGTTGGTCACTTGCTAGGTCTCTGTGGGCCCCATGCTAGGTCTCTGTGGGCCACATGCTAGGTCTCTGTGGGCCACATGCTAGGTCTCTGTGGGCCACATGCTAGGTCTCTGTGGACCACATGCTAGGTCTCTGTGGGCCACATGCTAGGTCTCTGTGGGTGACATGCTAGGTCTCTGGGGGCCACATGTTAGGTCTTTGGGGGCCACATGTTAGGTCTCTGGGGGCCACACGCTAGGTCTCTGGGGGCCACATGCTAGGTTTCTGGGAGCCACACGCTAGGTCTCTGGGTGCCACATGCTAGGTCTCTGGGGGCCACACTCTAGGTCTCTGTGGGCCACTTGCCAGGTCTTTGCGGGCCACATGCTAGGTCTCTGTGGGTCTCTTGCTAGGTCTCTGTGGGCCACATGCTAGGTCTCTGTGGGCCACATGCTAGGTCTCTGTGGGCCACTTACTAGGTCTCTGTGGGCCACACGCTAGGTCTCTGTGGGTCACTTGCTAGGTCTCTAGGGGTCATGTGTGAACCACTAGCTGAACAGCCCTACTGTAGCTGCTACATGAACAGAAAAAGTACCATGTCAAAAACAATAGAACCTTTCCTTTAAAGGAAAATACAAAAACTGCAGTCAAAAACAGCTGCTATTTTTTAGTGTCATAAGACCAGTTTCCAAAAAAATCAAAAGACATAATTTAAAAAAAACAAAAACAAAAAAACACAGAGAATTGTAAACATGTATCACAAGACCAGCAATTGACCATCAAAAAGGCAGCTCTTAATGTAGGTCATCTGGTATAATTACCATGACAAAAATGAATACCTCAGACACAGCAGAAAAGATGAAACGAAACACAAAACAGATGAATAAATAGTAAAGTAGAAGCAATGAACAACAAGGTATGCGGGACACACTACAGATAGACTGGAAGTCAGTGTCTGAAGTGACAAAGTTTCAGTAGTTTAAACATCACAGACTGACATTCACCTATTCAACAGGCAGATGTGAAAAGTAATCAGTGAATGAAGTGTCTAGAGTTTCAATAGTTTAAACTTTCAAACATAACAGAAAAACAATGCTCATGCTTGTATAAAGCACTCACTAACAAATAGATGGGAATTGAGTGCATGAAGTGTCAAAAGTTTGCTTAGTCTAAACATCCAAACATACAATGCTTATGTGTGTTTAAAGTATTCACTAACAAATAGATGGGAGGTCAGTGCATGAAGTGTCAAAAGTTTGTTTAGTCTAAACATCCAAACATACAATGCTTATGTGTGTTTAAAGTATTCACTAACAAATAGATGGGAGGTCAGTGCATGAAGTGTCAAAAGTTTGTGTAGTCTAAACATCCAAACATACAATGCTCATGTGTGTTTAAAGCATTCACTAACAAACAGATGGGAAGTCAGTGCATGAAGTGTGAAGAGTTTGTTTAGTCTAAACATCCAAACATACAATGCTCATGTGTGTTTAAAGCATTCACTAACAAACAGATGGGAAGTCAGTGCATGAAGTGTGAAGAGTTTGTTTAGTCTAAACATCCAAACATACAATGCTTATGTGTGTTTAAAGCATTCACTAACAAATAGATGGGAGGTCAGTGCATGAAGTGTCAAAAGTTTGTGTAGTCTAAACATCTAAACAAACAATGCTCATGTGTGTTTAAAACATTCACTAACAATTAAATGGGAAGCCAGTTTATGAAGTGTCAAGAGTTTCTGTTTTACATTCAAACAAACAATGCTCATGCTAAACATTCACATTATCTAATATAGAGCTGACAAGTCAGCTCATGAAGCTACCAACATAACATCAATAATAGCTTGGATCAGCGGCAGTTGCAAACACTCCCTCTGTTTAGTCTTTACTGTGAGTCATCAGATGTGGAATTATCATCAATGTCATCACGGTAATCATCATCATCATCGTCGGAACTACTTGAATTAGACACATTAAATGCGAGAGCTTGTGCTGCATAGGCAGGTTTCAGGCCTGTTTTTGGCACATGATCCGCCTGTGGTGGTTTCACTGAGCGCATGCGGTCAATGACTGCCCGAATTCCACCAACTCTGCTAGAGCGGGTCTTGTCTGAAGCTGCCTTCTTTCCTGAGCTGCATCCCGGTTTAGTAGCATGACTAGCTGCATTTACCTGTGGTTTTGCCTGAGGCTTCAAGCTGATATCAATTTGTGGTTTTCTCCTCACCGTGCTCCGTATCCAGCAATCGTCCTGGGTGTGGGCCACGCCATTTTGTGATTGAAAGTAGGAATTCTCCTGTCTTCGAAACAAGATTGGTGTTTGGGCTTTACTGTTCCCTTTTCTCCTCGACAAAAGTGATGAAAAGTGACGAGTTTGGCCCGAACTACCATCTTTACTGTCGCCAGCTCCTTTGGGCAATTTGCCACCAAGTGAGCGTAAATTATCCCCACCACTGTTTATAATATTTGTTGAAGCATTTGGTTTGAAATTCTGTGGCTTGACGTCACCTCCAGCCCTCCCATTCTGTACAGACAAGACCTGTTTGTTAACTGGCCGTTTCTCGGAGCTGGATGAAGAATCAGTCTCGGTGTCAATGAGGTCGGACGAATCGCTGGACTCGGAATCAGAAAATATGTTAGCACGTGCATTCTGTCGCCACATGGCAGCCAAGGCTGGGTCTGTTTTGGGGGCTGTGGTGGATTTGTTTGCTGGCTTACTTTGTGCCTGCACTGCTGCTGGTGTTGGCGGTGCAGCCTAGGGATGAACAAAGTAAACTATAAACAGTGACAAAATACTTTCAAGAAATTATGCTTGCAAATCTGTATATATTTGGTCATGAAATTATAAGCTGGTTTGACTATCTTTTCTTGACTCAGGTAAAGGTGGATGACCACTTCATGACTGAGTGCAACAAACTAAGGTAGCAATGCTGCAGTCTCAATCATTCACAATGCTAAGAAGGCAGGTGGCAGTGTTTGGCTCTCAACAATTCACAGTGCAAGGAGGTGAGGTTGAATTGCTGGAGTCTCGACCATTTATAGTGCAAGAAAGTGAGGCTGCATTGCTGGAGTCTCGACCATTTATAGTGCAAGAAAGTGAGGCTGCATTGCTGGAGTCTCTACCATTTATAGTGCAAGAAAGTGAGGCTGCATTGATGGAGTCTCGACCATTTATAGTGCAAGAAAGTGAGGCTGCATTGCTGGAGTCTCGACCATTTATAGTGCAAGAAAGTGAGGCTGCATTGCTGGAGTCTCGACCATTTATAGTGCAAGAAAGTGAGGCTGCATTGCTGGAGTCTCGACCATTTATAGTGCAAGAAAGTGAGGCTGCATTGCTGGAGTCTCGATCATTTATAGTGCAAGCAAGTGAGGTTGCAGTGCTGGGGTCTCGATAACTTAAGAGTGAAAAGAAGTGAGGTTTCAGTGCTGAAGTCTTAATAATTCACATTTTATGGAAGTGAGGTAACAGTGCTAGGGTCTCAACCAGTCACAGTGAGTGGATTTAGGTAACAGTGCTAGGGTCTCAACCAGTCACAGTGAGTGGAAGTGAGGTAACAGTGCTAGGGTCTCAACCAGTCACAGTGAGTTTAAGTGAGGTAACAGTGCTGGGGTCTCAACCAGTCACATTGAGTGGAAGTGAGGTAACAGTGCTAGGGTCTCAACCAGTCACAGTGAGTTTAAGTGAGGTAACAGTGCTGGGGTCTCAACCAGTCACATTGAGTGGAAGTGAGGTAACAGTGCTGGGGTCTCAACCAGTCACAGTGAGTGGAAGTGAGGTAACACTGCTGGGGTCTCAACCAGTCACAGTGAGTGGAAGTTAGGTAACAGTGCTAGGGTCTCAACCAGTCACAGTCAGTGGAAGTGAGGTAACAGTGCTAGGGTCTCAACCAGTCACAGTGAGTGGAAGTGAGGTAACACTGCTGGGGTCTCAACCAGTCACATTGAGTGGAAGTTAGGTAACAGTGCTAGGGTCTCAACCAGTCACAGTGAGTGGAAGCTAGGTAACAGTGCTAGGGTCTCAACCAGTCACAGTGAGTGGAAGTCAGGTAACAGTGCTAGGGTCTCAACTAGTCACAGACAGTGGAAGTGAGGTAACAGTGCTAGGGTCTCAACCAGTCACAGTGAGTGGAAGTTAGGTAACACTGCTGGGGTCTCAACCAGTCACAGTGAGTGGAAGCTAGGTAATAGTGCTAGGGTCTCAACCAGTCACAGTGAGTGGAAGTGAGGTAACACTGCTGGGGTCTCAACCAGTCACAGTGAGTGGATTTAGGTAACAGTGCTAGGGTCTCAACCAGTCACAGACAGTGGAAGTGAGGTAACAGTGCTGGGGTCTCAACCAGTCACAGTGAGTGGAAGTGAGGTAACAGTGCTAGGGTCTCAACCAGTCACAGTGAGTGGAAGTTAGGTAACAGTGCTAGGGTCTCAACCAGTCACAGTCAGTGGAAGTTAGGTAACAGTGCTAGGGTCTCAACCAGTCACATTGAGTGGAAGTCAGGTAACAGTGCTAGGGTCTCAACCAGTCACAGTCAGTGGAAGTTAGGTAACAGTGCTAGGGTCTCAACCAGTCACATTGAGTGGAAGTTAGGTAACAGTGCTAGGGTCTCAACCAGTCACAGTCAGTGGAAGTTAGGTAATAGTGCTAGGGTCTCAACCAGTCACAGTGAGTGGAAGTTAGGTAACAGTGCTAGGGTATCAACCAGTCACAGACAGTGGAAGTGAGGTAACAGTGCTGGGGTCTCAACCAGTCACAGTGAGTGGAAGTTAGGTAACAGTGCTAGGGTCTAAACCAGTCACATTGAGTGGAAGTGAGGTAACAGTGCTAGGGTCTCAACCAGTCACAGTGAGTGGAAGTTAGGTAACAGTGCTAGGGTCTCAACCAGTCACAGTGAGTGGAAGCTAGGTAACTGCTAGGGTCTCAACCAGTCACAGTGAGTGGAAGCTAGGTAATAGTGCTAGGGTCTCAACCAGTCACAGTGAGTGGAAGTGAGGTAACAGTGCTGGGGTCTCAACCAGTCACAGTGAGTGGAAGTGAGGTAACAGTGCTGGGGTCTCAACCAGTCACATTGAGTGGAAGTTAGGTAACAGTGCTAGGGTCTCAACCAGTCACAGTGAGTGGAAGCTAGGTAACAGTGCTAGGGTCTCAACCAGTCACAGTGAGTGGAAGTTAGGTAACAGTGCTAGGGTCTCAACCAGTCACAGTGAGTGGAAGCTAGGTAACAGTGCTAGGGTCTCAACCAGTCACAGTGAGTGGAAGTGAGGTAACAGTGCTAGGGTCTCAACCAGTCACAGACAGTGGAAGTGAGGTAACAGTGCTAGGGTCTCAACCAGTCACAGTCAGTGGAAGTGAGGTAACAGTGCTAGGGTCTCAACCAGTCACAGTGAGTGGATGTTAGGTAACAGTGCTAGGGTCTCAACCAGTCACAGACAGTGGAAGTGAGGTAACAGTGCTAGGGTCTCAACCAGTCACAGTGAGTGGAAGCTAGGTAACAGTGCTAGGGTCTCAACCAGTCACAGTGAGTGGAAGTGAGGTAACAGTGCTAGGGTCTCAACCAGTCACAGACAGTGGAAGTGAGGTAACAGTGCTAGGGTCTCAACCAGTCACAGTGAGTGGAAGTTAGGTAACAGTGCTAGGGTCTCAACCAGTCACAGTGAGTGGAAGTGAGGTAACAGTGCTGTGGTCTCAACCAGTCACAGTGAGTGGAATCGAGGTAATGGTGCTGGGGTCTTAACCGGTCACAGTACTGGGGTCTTAACCAGTCACAGTACTGGGGTCTTAACCAGTCACAGTACACCACAGTAATTCTCCAGCATGGTGTCTCACTAGTGACCCCTGCATATATAAATCATGGATGATGTTGCTGATATCAGCTCAGTTGTCTAGTTTTAAACTCCTGTTACAGAATGAAGCCCTGGCTTGTCCTAGTCATGTAAGAATAGCAGACAGACTTCCCTGACGTAGAATAGTGCTATGTAAGAAATTTGGTCACCTTGCTTCATAGTGCATTAACATTTGTCTTACAGTTATGGAAATGATAATTTGACTGAAATTCAATGAGGGGTGTATAGAGGTTCTAGGAGATATTTAACACTCAAGGGGAAACAAAAGCTGCCTTTTAATCAGGTTGCAACTGGTACTAGTAGCATGTCAATTCTTTGTTGGCTAATCTTCTTCTTCTTCTTCTTCTTCACGTTCACTGGCTGTAAACTCCAGTGAAAAGTTCTGGTTGTTTGTCCTCTTCTGGACTTTTAGTCTTTTTTCCAGAACCTGTGTGTTGCCTGTGCATCCATTTTACAGATATGACTCATCTGCATGCAGCTGTTGGTTCCTTGTCTCTCAGGCAGATGCATTCCGACTTCGAAGGAAGCTCCCAATTAGTCAATTCTTATGCCATGCTTTTTTGTTAGGGAGTGGGTCTATTCTTGTCTTCCCTATAAAAGGGCTCCGGAACCCAGACAGGGATGTTGGTTACTGAAGGAGGGGATGGAGCAAATGAGGGAATGTCCCGAATTAATTAGTTAGTCTTTCCTCTTGAGCTTAGGGCGGCACATAGGGCAGAGGTCATAGCTCTCTATGTCTGGCGGTTCATTGCCACCTGCTTTAGGTCTTGGATGTTTGTCAGGCCCATTGTTCAGCCTGATGATGATTCTTCGCAGTCTCCCTTGGTCTTCCCCCTTTTCTTTGAAACTTATGTCCTGAGGGCAGTGATGTTAATTCTCAATTCATTCATTCAGTTCTCTTGATTGGTTTCACCCTGCCTCTCCTCCCCTCCCACCTCCTGTTGTCACAACGTATTCCAATTCTAAATTTCTCATTCATGCCCAAACATTGCAGACTGCCTACTGCTGATGCAGGTTACCTAATTACCCAGTTACATGCCATAACATGAAACTTTTCTTCTTCTTTCTTCTTCACGTTCACAAGCTGTACACTCTGGTGGAAAGTTCTGGTTGTTCGTTCGCTTCTGGACTGCAGTCCTGCCCCAGAACTTCAGTGTTGCTTGTACATCAGTTTTACAGATCTGATTCACTTGAATGCAGACTGCTGGTTCCCTGCACTCTGACTTCAAAGGAAGCTCCCAATCAGTCGACTCTTACGACACGCTCTATGGTAGGCAGTGGGTCTATTCATGTTTTCCCCATAATGTGGCCCCGGAACCCACAAGGGGAACATGACAATCTGTAATCACTGATCAACAGCCTACTAGTCTAGACTGATTAATGTAAATACAAATGATTAATTTGAACACAAAATGACAATCTGTGATCAATGATCAACAATATGCCAGTCTGGACTGATTAACAAGACATAATATGACATTCTGTAATCACTGATCAACAGCCTGCCAGTATGGACTGATTAACGTGACATGACATTCTGTAATCACTGATCAACAACCTGCAAGTTTGGACTGATTAATGTGACATGACATTCTGTAATCACTGATCAATAATCCGCCAGTCTGGATTCATAAGCATGACATAACATGACATTCTGTAATCATTAATCAACAATCTTCCAGACTGGACAGATTAACGTGACATAACATGGCAATCTGTAATCACTGATCAACAACCCGCCAGTCTGGACTGATTAACGTGTCATGGGATTCTAAAATCCCTGATCAACAACTCACCAGTCTGGACTGATTAATGTGACATGACAATCTGTAATCACTGATCAACAACCCGCCAGTCTTGACTGATTAACGTGACATAAAATGAAAATCTGTAATCACTGATCAACAACTCACCAGTCTGGACTGATTAATGTGACATGACAATCTGTAATCACTGATCAACAACTCACAAGTCTGGATTGATTAATGTGACATGACAATCTGTAATCACTGATCAACAACCCGCCAGTCTTGACTGATTAACGTGACATAAAATGAAAATCTGTAATCACTGATCAACAACTCACCAGTCTGGACTGATAAATGTGACATGACAATCTGTAATCACTGATCAACAACTCACCAGTCTGGACTGATTAATGTGACATGACAATCTGTAATTACTGATCAACAACCAGCTAGTCTGGACTGATTAACATGACAATGAAAGAGACTATCTACATTCTTTGGTCATGTGATGGCAATGAGAAAACTGGAGTTAGTTAGTTAGTTAGTTAGTTAGTTAGTTAGTTGGGTTATCGTCATTGCACTCCGGACATGTCCATAGGTGCTCAGATCCTCCCCTCAGTATGAACCCCAACGTCCGATGGCTAATAGTACCAGTTCTATGTTGATTAACAAGTCTTCTGACGTGTCCGGTGTGCGTCTCGTTTTTTGCTGTGCCGATCTTAATTCCCAAGTCTGCCATTCTGGCGAGTGATGTGGATTCACTGCCACCAAAGTCCTCTATCCTTCCCATTTCTCTGAGGGCATTGATAATATCAGCATGATCCATAGGCCGACCGTCGGTAGTGATAGCGGATCCAGCCAACCTGTCAGCTCTTTCATTTCCATCGACGCCTGCGTGTCCCGGAACAAAAATAAAGGTGACTCCACGCACAGTGGACTTCTGTAATGATTCAAGCCATTGTCTTCGCACTGAACCTGCCTGAACCCTCCGGATCATACTCATTGAATCACTGAGTATACATATGCGGGTGTATTTTTGTGTTTCAAGCCAGGCAAACGCTTGCGTCACTGCCATCACCTCCATCGTCATGCTGCTGGTTGTCATGGAGAAGGCACCGTTGGCTTCTTTGACTGTTCTGCCCGCTGAGCGTGCTGTAAATGCCCATGCGCTTCTTCTTTGGCGTATAACGGATCCGTCTGCGTAGATTAGTGCATCTGCTTCGTCTGAATTTTCACCGATGAGAGCGTTGACCTCTGCATTAACAGCTACAGGATTCTCTTCTCTACATCGCCTGTTGAGTGTGACAATACAGGAAAATGTACAAATAAACGCCTGAGGCACAGGTATCCATTCTGCACCAGGTATGATGTCGGTTAGGCTGCATATTTGCCTAATAACATCTTCTGCCCGACCTAGCCACGATTTTCCCCTCTTCAGTCTGTCGCCCTTTTCACTAAAAAGCGCTTGATGCAGTGGGTGTTTCTTATCAGCACATATTTTGAGGTATGCCCGAGCCCTCCACATCCTGATCCTTTGGTTCATTGTTGGAAAGTCAAGTAGATACCTCATTGCTTCACAGGATGTGTCTCTTGTACATCCCAAAATAATGCGCATGGCTTCATTTTGCACCTTTTCGAGTCTTTCAATCTGGGTAGCACTGACAGTGAGGATGGCCAGAGCGTATTCAATGGGTGAAAGGACCAGACCGTAGAATAGAAGTATTAGTAGTCTTTGCTCGATATTGGAAGCAGCCATAATCCTCATTGCAGATAGACCTTTGCGTGCTTTTGTTATCACATGGTCAACGTGTTCCCTGAATGACAAGCTGCGATCGAACCTCACCCCGAGAAACGTCATAACGTTGGTTCTGATCAATATATTATCACGCATTTTCACTTCTGGTAAGTCCGACTTGACAATGTGATTGTTCAAAGAGAACCATGACACTGATGCCTTTGAAGGATTGACATAGGCATTGGAACCATCACACCAGGCGGCAATTCGATCGAGTTCTTTGTGCATTGTGCTGGCGATCTCCTGTCTATCACGCCCTCGTCGATAAATCAAAATGTCATCAGCAAATGACAAAGTCCTTCCTTTTCCATTCAACTGCTGCTCAGTGATCATCACCGTATAAACGTTGAATAAGACTGGTGATAGCGGTGATCCCTGTGGCAAGCCTGGACATATCGTTTGCGGTTCTGAGGACCAGCTACCACATCTTAGTACAATCTTTCTCTGGAACAGGATCGCAGCAATCCAGCGGATCAGAATAGGATTGACTTCTAGTTTAAGCAGTAATTGCATTAAATATTCGTATGGTACTTTATTGTAGGCATCTTCTAAGTCCAACACTGCCGCACATGTCTCTTCTTTAATCTGAAATCCCTCGTACACATCGTAGGCGAAAACAGCAGCATTGAACCATGTCTCTTTCTTCAACCTGTACCCTCCAAGTGTTGATGGGAACTTATCATGTAGTTCCAAGTAGGTGGTCAATCTTTGTGCGACAATTTTTTCCAAAAGTTTGCCAACAGTATTCTGCATCGAGATGATTCTGTAGCCGCAGATCTTTGAGTGGTCTTTATTAGGCTTTGGTAGTGGGAACAAATAACTATGGAGCCATTCCTCTTGTATCTGGCCACTCTGGATGCTGATATTGAATTCCTTTGCCACGCTTTTCAAATCAGCATTCGACATCATCAGCATGTCATTGTATCGGATGCCGTCAGGGCCTGGAGCAGTGCTGCGCGATTTCTTGAGGCAAGTTCTTAAGGTGTCTGCAGTGATTGTGAAATCAGTGCCTAGCTCAGTGTTCTCGCACAGCATCAACAGTTTCATCTTAACCCCTATTCTTGCAGCTTCGTCTTTTTGGTCAGTTTGCTCCAAGTAGCGCGCAAGAAGGGTTTTTTCCTTTATCAGCATCAGTTCTCTGCCATATCAGGTCTGTACCCTGAAAATCAGGGATACCCCTTGGTCGTGCGGCGCCGTGCATGCTCCGTTGAAGGCGCCAGAATGTCACAAGAGATCCCTCGGAGCAAACGCTCTTGCAGAATTCGTTCCATTTCGCTGTCTTGGCTTCTTTGGCAATTAACTTGAAAGCGACTGTCCGCTTGTTAACCTCATCTTTTAGACTGATCAGGCGTTCAGAAAGTGACGGATCAATTTTCCTTGCCTTTTGCCATGCCTTGACAGCGTTCCTTTTTTCTAGCCACGCCATGTTGACTACTTCATTCCACCATGGTGGCTGGGCCCATCTCTCCCGCCGTCTGCGATCTGCTCTTGTTTTACGTCGTCTGATTTTGCTAATGGCATCTTGCCCTGTACGGTCATATCGGTCGGTCGGTCGGTCGGTCGGTCGGTCGGTCAGTCAGTCAGTCAGTTAGTTAGTTAGTTAGTCAGTCAGTCAGTTAGTTAGTTAGTTAGTTAGTTAGTTAGTCAGTTAGTTAGTTAGTTAGTTAGTTAGTTAGTCAGTTAGTTAGTTAGTTGGGTTATCATTATTGCACTCCGGACATGTCCATAGGTGCTTAGATCCTCCTGTCAGTATGAACCTTAATGTCTGATGGCTAATAGAACCAGTTCTACGTTGATTAACAAGTCTTCTGGTGTGCGGCTCGTTTTTTGCTATGCTGATCTTAATTCCCAAGTCTGCCATTCTGGTGAGTGATGTGGATGCACTGCCCCTAAAGTCCTCTATCCTTCCCATTTCTCTGAGGGCATTGTGATCTGATTAACATGACAATGTAACACAATCTTTAATCACTGACCATTAACTCACCAGTCTGAATGTTCCCTCTGACCTAGTAATCAGATCCTCCATGTCTTCTTTGAAGCCTGCCATATGTGCAAAAGACTGAAGGCACTCTAAGATATCTCCTGTGAAGAGGAAGGTGAAACCATAAGTCATGACCAAGTTTTAGACAACGGCCATTAACATGAATCATACAACAACCAACAACATCTATCATTCAACAGCCACCAACTTGTTCTAGACAATAAACACAAACATGTTTTAGACAACAGCCACCAACCTGTTCTAGACAATAACCACCAACTTGTATTAGACAACAGCCACTAACATTTTTTAGACAACTGTCACTAATATGTTTTAGACAACAGTCACCAACATGTTTTAGACAACAGCCACCAACATGTTTTAGACAACAGCCACCAACCTGTTCTAGACAATAACCACCAACTTGTATTAGACAACAGCCACTAACATTTTTTAGACAACTGTCACTAATATGTTTTAGACAACAGTCACCAACATGTTTTAGACAACAGCCACCAACATGTTTTAGACAACAGCCACCAACACGTTTTAGACAACAGCCACCAACATGTTTTAGACAACAGCCACCAACATGTTTTAGACAACAGCCACCAACATGTTTTAGACAACAGCCACCAACATGTTTTAGACATCAGCCACCAACATGTTTAAGACAACAGCCACCAACATATTTTAGACAACAGCCACCAAAATGTTTTAGACATCAGCCACAAACATGTTTTAGACAACAGCCACCAACAGCCAGTTTTTCAGTTATGTTTACTTATGGAGACTGGGTAGTTGGTAAAGGTAATGCCATAGAATTTAATGACTTGTGATATCTTCACATCTGGGAAGAAATCTGGCTTTTCTTTTCCATTTCCCTGGACCCATGATCTGTGATGTTGTTATATTTATCTTAACACCTCTTCCTAGCCTGAATTCCATGAATGTGTTTAGGTGTTTATTGGGTTTTTCCACCCACATATTTACTGCTTGAAGGGAAAAAGGCAGTGTCATCTGCATATGCGATGAGTTTATATTCTCTCATTTTAGGCATAGAATTGCCTTTGATAGTTGTGACCTGTCTAATTTTTTCTAACAGTGGTCCTAAAAACAAAAAGTTTAAGAGTGGTGACTAAGGGCACCCTTGTCTTACTGACCGTGTAAACTGAAAGGCCGAAGTCAACGAGTTATTTACTAGTACGTTGCTTTCTGGATTCGTGTACATAATTTGTATCCAATTTTTTTTTAAATATGGGTCTATTTTACACTGTGTCAATGAGCTGAGTATATATGAGTGTGAGATCCTGTCAAAAGTTTTCTACTGGTCCAAAGACAGGAGAGAGGATTGACAGTTTTTCTGATGTGTAAAAGTAATTAGGTCTCTAATGAAATGTGTTTGTTTATGTATGTTTCTGTTTTCAACGCTATAATGTTGATTTGTATGTATTTCGTCCATGACGGGCTGAAGTTTCCTTGTCAATGTTTTTGTTAGAATTTTATAATCAATGTTTAAAAGAGATATTTGTCTATAATTTGTCAGCAATAGCCTGGCTAGAAACACTCACTTTCACCCGGACATGCTTTCTCAGCGACTCAATGAATACGTTCAAGAAGGTCGAGAAGTGTTGTATACCCAGACAGTGGGTGGAGTCCATGAGTAGATCTAAGCTGACAATAATCAGTGTTTGTTCCGGGGCTGACAGACTTGCAAGTGATGTTCACATGGCCAACAGACCAGCAATGGACAGGGTTGATATACTGAATGCCCTCAGAGAGGTGACTTGATTAAACAACTCAAGAAATGATTGTGAATCTGCAACAATGACGAGACTACACGAGCATAACATCAAAAGGAGTGAAGCCAGACAAGAGCGATACACAGGGGCCCAAAGAAGAATTGTAAACCGACATAGAACTGGTGTAATAAGCCACTATACGCTGGGAGAGATACTGAAGAGGGGATCTGCACACTTATGAATGGTTCGATGTGTGATGATGATAATTGGTCAACTAACTTGCCAGCTATTAGTGCTGCAGCAGACATAATATCTGTAGTTAACTGGTTAAAATGTGATTACCTTGAGAGACAAAATCTTTAGCTCTCTTGCCATGCCGAAATGGTCCTACTGCTTCTCGGTTAAACAAAACCCTGGGGACAGTCCATCTGACAGTATCAATGATGCCGGCAAATGGCTGGACCTGGGAAATCAAATAGGGTATCCCATGAAGAGGTTGTGACAGTAATGGTAACCTATTTATCATTAAGGACATAACAAGCAGAGGTTATGACAGTAATTGTAATGTATATCATTAAGGACATGCCAAGAAGAGTTTACAACTGTAATAGTAACATGTATCTCATTAAGGATATTCTATAGAGGGTTATGACAGTAATAGTAACAAACATCATTAAGAGGTTATGACACTAATAATAACATATTTCATTAAGGACATCACAAGCAGAGATTATGACAGTAACAGTAAGATATATCATAAGTGACATCACAAGCAAAGATTATGACATTTATAGTAATAAATATATAACTATGGAGACCACAAGAAGAGGATAAGTCTCATACTAACAAATATCACTAGGACATCACAAGAAGAGGATAAGTCTCATACTAACAAATATCACTAGGACACCACAAGAAGAGGATAAGTCTCATACTAACAAATATCATTAGGACATCACAAGAAGAGGATAAGTCTCATACTAACAAATATCATTAGGACATCACATGAAGAGGATAAGTCTCATACTAACAAATATCACTAGGACATCACAAGAAGAGGATAAGTCTCATACTAACAAATATCACTAGGACATCACATGAAGAGAATAAGTCTCATATTAACAAATATCACTAGGACATCACAAGAAGAGGATAAGTCTTATACTAACAAATATCACTAGGACATCACAAGAAGAGGATAAGTCTCATACTAACAAATATCACTAGGACATCACAAGAAGAGGATAAGTCTCATACTAACAAATATCACTAGGACATCACAAGAAGAGGATAAGTCTCATACTAACAAATATCACTAGGACATCACAAGAAGAGGATAAGTCTCATACTAACAAATATCACTAGGACATCATAAAAAGAGGATAAGTCTCATACTAACAAATATCACTAGGACATCACATGAAGAGGATAAGTCTCATACTAACAAATATCACTAGGACATCACATGAAGAGGATAAGTCTCATACTAACAAATATCACTAGGACATCACATGAAGAGGATAAGTCTCACACTAACAAATATCACTAGGACATCACATGAAGAGCTATGAAAATAAAACTAAATAAACAGCAAAGACCAGTAAACAGGAAGCCGTGGTAGAGTGGGACTAGAGCTTGCCTGACAGCCTAAAGCTCCTGGGTACTTCTTCTTCTTCACATTCACAGACTGTAAACTACGACAGAAAGTTTTGGTTGTTTGTCCACTTCTAGTCCTGTTCCAGAACATAAGTCTTGCATGCAAATTTATTTTACATATCTGATTCATTTGTATGCAGACTGCTGGTTCTTGCCTTTCAGGCAGATGAACTTCGACTTTGAAGAAAGCTCCCAATTAGTTGACCTTTACGACAAGCCTTTGGGTAGGCAGTGGGTCAATTCTTGTTTTCCCCACAACAGGTCCCCAGAACCCACACGGGGAGGTCTTGAGTTTGAATCTGCACATGAAGCAGAGTTTTTCTTTCAAAACTGATCATGGCTCCCAGCCCAAAATGGGTACCAGGTAATGTCCTGGGAAGTAAAGGCACCGGTGTGATGTTGAACACATCATACACTAAGTTCCGACAGGTCTATAACAATATAAGTATATGCCCATACACTGCTGTTTTAAAAAGGGTCCTGTAGTTGTTCTAAAAAGGGTAGTGTAATTGTTTTAAAAAAGGGCCTTGTAGTTGACTAGTTACTTACAATAAACAGTAATCAAATCTACTGAAGGAGAAAGGCCACAATGAAATGACTTAATTGGTACTAGAAATTAGGGCTGTAGCGAATAGTGATTTTCACTATTCGGCCGAATACGAATAGCTGGACCAACTATTCGGCCGAATATGAATAGTGAATCATCATCATCCGGTACTTTGCCGACTGGCATGGGCGATTACACCTCGTCACAATCTGCGATCTCCTGCAGCATATATTAGTTCGTGTGCTGACACACCTCCATGCCATGCAACAAGACTGTCAAGAATCTTCTCTCGTTGTCTTCCTCTATCCCTCCTTCCCCATATCTTTCCAGTAGTCACCACATGTTCCATTTTCTCTCATCTTATAACATGGCCGAAAAATTATGATCGTCTCTTTCTGATGTCTGTGAGTAGTTGTCTTCGGACTCCCACCTCTATCAAAACCTCTTGGTTGCTTTTCTTTTGGCTGTCCAAGGTATTTTAAGCATTGTTCCGTAAAACCACATCTCTGAGGCCTCAAGAAATTGTTTGACCTGCCTACCGATTGTCCAGGATTCACAGCCATATGTTACAATTGGATGTATGTAGCAAGCAAGAATTCTTTTTCTAACCTTCAATTACAAGGATATATTGCATAAGATCTTCTTCATTTTATAAAATGCAGTTTTTGCATGACCAATTCTGTTTCTTATTTCAGTAATGCATCTTCCATCTGATGTTATCCATGTGCCCAGATACTTAAATTTCTGTACTTGTCCCAAAATACTGACTTTTATTACACATTTAGGAATAATTATTTTCTATGATAGCACCATTACTTCTGTCTTCCCACTATTCAAACTGAGGACCATTCTTCCACTTTCGTGTATATAATAGATCTTAAAAAAAACATCCATAATTTTAAATATACGCTAAAATTTTACTTCACAAAATGTAATGAATTACAGAGAAATTTGACTAAAAAGCTCAACAAAATGGGAAAGAGGAAAACGCGCACAAAACAACACAATGTAACGTTTCGGTCGGGCAGCCTTTTTCAAACACACGTGAAATACACAAACGAAGAATGGAGAGTATGTAGATCTCTAAGGGGTGACGTGAGCGACGTTTAAAAAATGTGATGCGGAATAAATGAAATAAAATAAAATAAACGATGGCTAAAAAATATAGTCACAATACTGGGAATAAAAGAAATGCAAGTGTTAATGATACATAAATGATATTGATAAGAAATAGAATAAGGTAATAATATGAAATAAAATAAAATAATTAACATTTAAAATGTGATAAGATTAGAACTATTTAGATGAAGGTATGTTGGATATTGATACCTCTTGGACTAAGAACACCAAGGCTGTGGTTAAGGCGATTTTCCAAAGCGAGACGGGTAGTATGATCGCCAGAGCAAGATTTTAATGCTGTGACAGATATGTCACCTTTACCGCTGTGGTCAGGGCTATTAAAATGAAGAGGGATTGGTTTGAGTGTCTTCTTGTCGATATCGGAGAGGTGTTCCCGGAAACGATCAGTTAGCTTCCTGCCAGTCTCCCCAATGTATGCCTTGCTGCATCGTTTGCAGATAATTGCATAAATTACGTTTAGGGATTCGCAAGTAAAAGGTTCCCTAATTTGAAAAGAACCATTAGAGAAACTGACCGAAGAAGTCTGGACAACGAAAGGACATGTTTTGCGGGTGCTGCGTGAGCACTGAGTAGTCCCAAGAGGAAGTGCTGTGTGGATCGGTGGGAGTCGGTTTCGGACAAGTATGTCTTTAAGGTTGCGATCTCGTCTGTAAACTAATCTAGGTTTCTCACTAAAGATAATCTTGGTGTCCGGATCAGAGCGGAGGATGTCCAAATGACGAAAGAATACTTTAGAAGCAACCATATTGTTAGGGTGAAAAGTCAAGATCTATTTAGGTCCATCATTGGTGGAGTTACGTTTGGTAGGAAAAGCATCTCTCCTGGTAGTACTACAAAATGTAGTACAGAATAGAAAACATTAAAAAAATGTTTTCATTATTTTGCATCATGCAGTCAGCCAGTCTGTGGTAACTAGTACCTACGAATGAAAGTATACGTAGTTTTATAACAAGTAATTAAACTTGTAAATTGTCTCTGACATTTTAGTTAATCCATGAAAGCAGCATTAGCTTTCACACACACACACACACACACACACAAATTGCTTCATGTTGTCAGCAATAAGGCAGCTTCTTGTCTCACTGAAGGTATTTCCTGCTGTACTAAACAGATGTTCACTTGGTACGCTCGTAGGTGGTGCACAAAGATAATGCTTGACAGTATGAACGAAGGTGGGAAATCTTGATATGTTTTTTTTCCAGCACTGCAGAAACAGGTGTAAGGTAACCACTATTCGTAATCGGCCCGACCGCAACTATTCGGCCGAATACCGATTAGTTATTAGGTCCACTATTCGGACCCGAAGCGAATACGAAGCAAATATTCGGTACAGCCCTACCAGAAATGGACCATGACAAAACAGGCACTCTTGGTTGTGATTCTGCAGATAATTTGCTTTTGTGTCTACGATCAGCTTCTTTTGCTCAGCAGTCTAAAAAATCTAATGGGAGGATAAGTCATACTGAGCGAAGTAGTCGTGGTGCTCCATTGACCACCAATGTACAGGGAAAACATCTGAAAATAAGTCATACAGCACACTAGGTCGCCATACTAGGAAATGGAAGAACAAGTCAAACAGAGCAGTGTTCTTCAACCTGTTTACACCCATGGACCAGCAAAACAGAGGAAACTGTTTCATGGCCCACTTCACTGCTAACACAAAAACACAGATTCTATGGTAAATCCAATAACAAAAAATATTACCATTTTCAACTAATGTGACATCTGTTCCTGCTAGTCGTTATAAAATCTCTGCAGAAATGTGGCGCCAGATTCATGTAGCCACTCCAGTATTAGGCAGACAATTAGGCAGAAACCTTTGGCAGACTTTAAGGTCATAAAGTGCAGCATGAGTGGTACCCCAAAGAATAACACTGCTGTAGAGTGCAGCATGAGTGGTACCCCAATAAAGAACACTGGTATAGAGTGTAGTGTGAGAGGTACCCCAATGAAGAATGCTGGTATAAAGTGCAGCATGAGTGGTACCCCAATAAAGAACACTCGTATAGAGTGTAGTGTGAGTGGTACCCCAATAAAGAACACTGGTATAGAGTGCAGTGTGAGTGGTACCCCAATGAAGAACACTGGTATAGAGTGCAGTGTGAGTGGTACCCCAATGA